ACGCAAAGGGGGAAATCCAACTTCGTTTCGTGCGCAGCCCAACGTAACGCAGCCGTTGTCTGGAGTGTACATGGGCTTCGACCCACGGCCCATGGTCTAGCCTCACGCGTCAAACTTATCCGTACGTTGGAGCCCACATAAACGCGCTCCTCATAACTGGGTCCCAGTGGTCAGCGAGACAGGATTTGATGATCATCACCATCATTAAAACGCGTTTCGATCACGACGACATTCATTCTCTTCGCTCCTGGTCAAAAATCTCGTCACCCCCGCGGACCCTTCGCCTCGCAAACGGCTCCCATTTCCCCCCTCTTGTTAGCGTCACCACGCGGTGACCGTACTCCAGAAATTCCGCCAAAATCGTCTAATATAACTAACCTTCCCCCCCCCGCCATCGCCCTCGAGAACGAAATCGTTTCAGCCGAAAATGACGCTCAGACTCCTCCCCTCCTCCTCAATCTCCCTCGCCCCGCCGCGCCTCGGCAGCGCTCGTCTCATCGCGCGTCAACTAACGCGCGCACTGGCGCACACAACTCCGCTCCCCCTTCGCCAAGTCGCCGCCTTCCTCAAGATCCCGCCCACCTTCATGCGACGCGAGTCAAGTCTTCGACTGCAATCCCAGACTTCATCCGCTGCCTTCGCGCGGCACCGGGTCTTCCGTCGCCATCACCGCCGCCCAACGCGCATTCCCTGCCTTCGCCCACCCCCGCGGGCGCACGCCTCCTGGATCCAGTCCAAACGTCCGTCGCCCTTCGCTCGCCCGCCACGAACATAACCTTGCCTCACTCGTGTCGGCAAACGAGATCATGCCACCGCCGAACAGGAACTCCTGCATCCCCACCTTGCGTCCCCGCATGCGCTACACGTCAGAGTCCGCCCTCTCCTCCGGCCGGCACCGCCGGCCCCAGATCCGCGTTCCAGCACCACACTCCCTCGGCATCCTCTCCGCCTCCGAGCCCGCCCTGCCCTCCGGCCGCTTCCGCGCGGCTTACGACAAGGCGATTCTTCGCGCCGATGTTCAGGTTCCACCAGCAAACGAAGACCCCCTTGTCTCGTCAACGCCCTACCCCTTACTTCGGCTACAACGGCACACAAGACCCTCAACTACGCGCTCTTCAAGTCCGCAACCCCGGCGTCTACGAGCCGCGTCCACGAGGTCAACATACACACAACATGTTCGAGGCCCAGCTGAGACGCGGTCCACTCGGCCGATGAACGAGGCGGGTTCGGCGACGTGGACATCGTCGGGGCGGACGACGGGCTGCTCGCTTCGGAGGCCGAGCCGGGCCAGAATCGGGGTCGCGTCGCGGACGGCCGAGTCCTTCAACGGGAACCTTGATCCGGTTCGTGAAGCTCGGGCGGGGGACCCCATGATGCGGGCCGGAGGTTCGAGAACGTACGTTTTCGCGCTCTTCGACGAGGACCTGAAGCCCGGGCCCGGAGTCGCGAGCGGAAGCTGGGCTTGTTCAGGCCGCTTACCGTCAGCCCGGTCTATCGACGCGGGGTCCTCGCGCGGGGGCAAGGTGAGCGCTTTTTGCTGGCCCTTGCTCTTTTGGGCTATTGGATTTCGGGTTACTTTACCGAGTTGCCCCCGGTCGATCTCTTGCTTTTTTTTTGGCACGTCGTTCTACGAGGATAGTGCGGTTGGTAGAATCGTAATTATTATGCGGGGGGGATCGTGGGCCGTTAGCTTGGGCCATGGGATTCGTAGCTGATTAAGGGTTTACTACGCGGCTGTACGATTCCTCGTATAGTGACGTGCTTAAGTTTTAGATGAACCGGCTTCTTAATAGTATGCATATTACGATAATGCCACTCCCGACATGGGCCATTCACGAGGCACGTGCGTTGGCTAGTTTTTTTTTTGTCCTCTCGATAAAAGAGTTTTGTCGTTGCTTTCTATTATGCTCTTTGCGGTGCGCTACCACGACAAGCAAGCTAGGGTCCCTAAATTCGACTTTTACTTTTTTTTGTACACGAATAGGGAGCGAGGTATTTGTTAAAAGTAAATCCCAACCCCCTCTTTCTTTAGGAGGTTAAAGCTTGAGTTAACGGTCTAATGTGAAAAGTTTAAGGTTAATTCTTCCTATTTTTTTTTGGGGACGGTGACGTATTTGTTAACGGGTTGGTATGAAAAGTTCAAAGTAGAATCTTATTTCTTTAGTTAATTATATGCTAACTAATTATCATTGCAAGTGAACTCACGCATGTCTTTTCTTTTCTTTCTTCCATTGTTGTTGGTGCAGACTGTGAGTCCAACGCCGGCGCCCTCAGGCTCGGGCACCAAGTGGTGCGTACCAAAGCCCGACGTGACCCAGGCCTCCCTCCAATCAAACATCGATTACGTGTGCAGCACGGGCCTAGTCGACTGCAAGCAGATCCAGGACGGCGGATCCTGCTTCCTCCCCAACACTCTTCAGAACCACGCGGCATTCGCCAAAGGAGGGGAGGTCGTCGT